GAGACTTGTGTTATGGGAGAGTGATATAAGGGAGGAAGTGGTGGTGGTGGTGGTGGTGGTGGTGGAGGAGGAGGATGGTGAGACGGACGTACTGTTGTAGATGGAGAGATGGAGGCCGCGGTGGAGGAAGGTGATGGTGCCGCGAATGGTGAGTTGGAGGGTGGTGTGTAGGCTATTGCTCGTGAAGTGAATCACGTCGTTCAAATGTTGATTTCAGTGTTGATGGAAATATCAGAGGAAGATCTTGTACCAGTTGATGGTATGTCATTTTACTTTGCCTTATTCGGACTCACTTCTTTCTTATGTGCCAGAATTCCATGCCGTCTCTATCCTTTTTTCGTTCTTTTTCAGTTTACAGTCGCACGCCCTTGCCACCCATCCAGTCATATCATTCAACATTCTTTTACCCATTCTGTAGCAATGCACATTCATCTATCCATTTTGGAGTCTTTCATTCTACGGTCATGCACCTAACCACGCGTCTCATATTACCTCGCGCGTGCACACTTCTCGTGACCACACGTTTGTCATTGTCTTCATCCATCAATTTCCTTTTTCCAACTATTCACTTCGTATTCGCTTATCCATTCACCATTTTGTCTCCATCCTTCAATTCAATCATCCGTCCTTCTAGCAGACTTCCATTTATCTAATCATTTACTCTTTCTCATCCAATCATCTGTTATTCATCTACCATGTTCCTTTTCGCGTATTTAAGTGTAGACATAGGTGGTGAAAAAGTACTAAATACACTATGCCGTCCGATGGATTGAAATGGTGTTTGATGCTTTCCATTTTTTTGTATCACCTTTTCTTCTTCAGGCAAGCCAGAGGGTGAAACCGAAGTGACAGAATCGTCGCACGACGCTAGAGGTAGAGAGATGGCACAGATTTCATAAGTTTTTTTTTGGTGTAAAATTATAGAATTGTTTATAGTAGATGGAGGTGTACCTTCATATACATCAGGCGGCTTATATGTGCCACCCATCATCCTTTTCATATTTTGACACCTATGCATTTTTTTGGTGTTTTCAGTTCATCGATTTAAAATGCATTCTCACTGCCTCTTAGCCACCCATATTTTGCTGTCAAGTGATTCTTCCACCCAGTTGAGAGACTACTTTAGCCGTTCTCCTCTCCTGTTTGTCACTCCTCCTTGGCTGCCGAAAGTTTATTGGATGAATTAATACATCACGACCTCATGATTGTATTATTTGAGTTCAATTAGTCCGAATTTCAACATGACTCATGGCCTCCTGGATCGTCATCAAAAGTGTTTTCCAATTCCTAAAGGCAAGCATCTCAGCATCCATCTGCTTTGTTTCCCGTCATTCCCACTAGTCGGCATCT